CCCCAAAACCCCAAAACCCCAAAACCCCAAAACCCCAAAACCCCAAAACCCCAGCTGATAGAAATTATATTGAATTTTAAATCACAATATCATTTATTCTACAGCAGGAGGTCATCATCACTGTCTTTTCCTCTAGAAGGAGTGTGCATCTGGTAGTCTTCATCATCATCGGGGATCTCAATGTCAAGGTCAAATGCATCCTTCTCAGAAGTGTCATCGTACTCATCATGTAAATCATCAAATACTTTTTCTTGGTCTTTCATTTTTCCAAATTTCTCGAATTCTTGCAAGTATTCATTGTTAGGGTTTGAAGAGTCTAATGAAAGATTATCTATATAGTTTAATAAGAAATATGTAAGACCGATTACCTCCTTTAGAATCTTCTTCTTCCAGTGCCTTCATCTCTTCCCTCTCCTGTTCCTTACTAAAGTACTTAACCCTTCCATAATTCTGAGAATTTGTTCTTATATACAGCCTCTTGAGTAATGGGTCCATTGCCTTTTTCTTCCTATCCTTCTCACTGCCATCATCTGAGATCTCAAAGTTGTCATCGTACTCTGTTACTTGAATATTATCTGTAAATTTTATACCGTGTGATCTAGAGATTATAGGTGAGAAAGGTGGCTTACCCTCGCTTGATCCAGGGAGCTTCAGGTTTGATCTTGAGTGCATTTACGGTGAACTGTTCGAAGATGTTGTCGTCAAGGGAAGGGATCATGTTTGGGGGGCGGATGAAGGGGAATGAGAAGGAAGGTCTCATGAGGATGTAGGTGCCCATGTTGGAGGAGAAGGAAGGGAAGCTTATCTTTACGAAGGGGTAGTAGTTGCATAAGCGGCTGGATGGAGGGAAGATGTTGAGTGTTATAGGGTTTTTGTCCTTGATGAAGGTGATGTAGTTGTCAGGGTCCCTTCGTTCGGCGTAGGAAAAATCGCTTTTAGCGATTTTGTAGTTGCCAATTATGGAGGCGAGGATGCCACGGAGGATCCAGAGCTCTTTGTGGTACTTTTTGGGGATGGTTTCGAGCAGGTATGTCACTTTTTGGAACGCTTCTTCGTACTTTTTTGATTGGATTAGACATAGAATAATGTTATATGTGAATTCGTGGACATTGAGACTTCATAATCCAATATCTGAGAGATCTGTCTGACTGCTTGCTTGACTAACCCCATCCATTCTCTTTGCCTCTTCATCAGTGAGTGTAAAATTATTCTGAGTATTATTCAGATTCTTGTTTGCATGCATTATTTTAGAAGTTTGCTCAAAGTCTTGAATTGCTTTGTCATATTGCTCAGTGTAAAAGTACATGACCCCTCTATATAGATAGTAGTCTTCAGGGTTGAATATATTTTCTCTGTAATAATTATTGACATCTGCAACTTCTCTTTCTTCTATCTCACCTAGTTCTTCGACTTGAACATCGAGGTCGAACTCTTCATCATCGAAAGATTCTTCATCATATTCATGAGATCTGAGCTTCTTCTCTCTGAGCTGTCTAAGCGTCTTTATCTTGTCAGCCTTCGTTCTCTGAGAAGAAGGAATAATCTGAGAATGATGGTAGATTACTGAAGAATAATGGACTAAAACTGTTACAATCAAGCTTACTTTTGAGATTATTTTGCTTTCTTAGATAAGAGTTCTTCTCTGTGTTTATCAACTGCCCAATGGTGATAATTGACTTTTCAAATGCTGATTGATCTATCTCTGTGCCTGAGCAGATGCTTAAGCATTTTAAGCAGTCACGGTCATTTCTGGCAACCTTATCATTTGGTGATAGCTCAACTACTTTGTTTAAATCACCAAGTGCATCTTTAGTTTTAGTCAAGGCTACATATCAGCGAGATCTCTGGTAAAGAGCTAATGGAGATTTCTTAATATTGTTTGCATTTGTAAAAGCCTTAGTAGCATCATCGTATGATCCAGTAGTCATCAAAAGATTGCCTGCATAAATGTGAACCATTGGAGTTTTGGGTTTGAGCACAATGATCTTCTGGAAATCCATGAATGCTAGTGAAGTGTCTCCAAGCAGATAGGCGCATTTCCCCCTATTTAGATAAGCATCAATAAGATCTTTATCGATACTGATAGCAATAGAAAGGTCTGTGATAGCTTCTTTGAACATTGAGAGGCATGCGTATCATCTTCCTCTGCCAAGATAGTACTTAGCTGCTGTATCTTCATCCATCTCGATGACTGTGTTGAAGTCATTAATAGCATCATTAAATCATTGGAGATAAAGATTAAGAAGACCTCTGTAATACATGAGTCCATAATCCTTCTTATGCTTTTCCATGACCTTGTTAATAATTTTCTTAGCTTCCTTAGCCATTCTCAGTTTAATTTCTGGCTTCTGGAGCGACTCGTTGGCCTGCTTAATAACAGTCACAGCTTTCAAGAACTGGTTCCTGTTCTGTGGAAATTTTTGATGCGCTTTTGTGAAATATGTCATTGCAGAGTCAAATTCTTTGTTTCTGACAGCTAAGATTCCAACACATAGTTGGAGGTTATAGTGAGCACTTGCTGGCAATTTCTTTAGAGAAGAAGCTTTTAGTAAATCCTTTAGTGCAGTGTCATATTCTTGTAGCACAATCCTACCGTATGCTCTATAAATATACACAAGAGGGTTTAAGAAAGTCTCCTTCGATAAACTTGATTGCGACTTGTTTTCTATCAGCTGAGTTAGAAGTGCAACTCCTTTCTTTGTCTTCCTCTTCATTAAGAAAATGGCTGCTTCAGTGAACGAATTATACAGAGATAGCTTGGGCAGCTTAAGCTTTGATTTATCAGCTCTCTGAAGGAAATAATACGCTTCATAAAAGTCTCTCTGACGAACTCTAATCTTTGTAATCTCATATAATGAGTTTCCTTGTAAATGAGAATCTTCTGTTAGCTTGATAACCTGCTCGAAACAAAGCACAGCATCGTCATATTCTCCAAGCCTTTCAAGCACCTTTGCTTTGTAGAAATACGGCTTTGGCTTTAAAAAGTCCATTTCAATCAAATCATTGAAATCATGTAGAGCAGATCTATGGGTGATGGCGGAAATTACTTGAGCTCAAATTGGTCTCCCTTTTTATTTTGGCCTAACTGGAGATACAAAATACCTCTCTTCATGTAAGCCTGCTTCCTTGACTCCTTGTCAACCTCAATGGCATCAGTGTATGAGCTAAGAGCTCCTTGATAATTTCCTATTCAAGTTAAATTTTGAAAACAAAGATTTTAAACTTTAAAGAAAATGCTTACCAATTCCTTTATAAGCATCTCCTTGGCCTAGTAGGCCAAGTCCGTTCTTCTTACTGAACCTCAGGACCTCTCTGAAGTCGATGAAGGCCTTCTCCCACTTGCTTAAGAGAACAAGTAAATCTGTCCTCTAGCAGCATAGGCTTCTGCAAATTTGGGATACTTGCTAATTGCCTTCGAAAGTATCTTTAAAGCCTCAGAATAGTTCTGAAGGCGCCTAAATTTTACCAAAAGCACATACCTATAGGAAATGGAGATCATAATATAGACCATCTTCTTGTTTGTGAAGTTCTTGTCGATAATCTGGGTAAAATAAGTTAGCGCCTTCTTTGGATCTCCACTGTCAAGATGCTTAACACCCCTGTAAAAAGACTCCTCAGCTTCTTTATCAATCGGTGGCTCCACAGGCTCTCTCATAGGTGGGTTTAGGAAAGGAGGCGCTATTGCTGAGTTGCTGCTGTTCAAAGTATGGAACTTGTTTACAAGCCCTAAGGAATTATTCCTCTTATTTTAAAGCACTCAAAGTTGACATTAGGTTGGGAGATAGCAATGTATTCTTCATGGTTCCTCTCACATAATTAGTATTGACTTGGTCTAAACAAAGTCAATTCTGCTCACCAAGACCATGGGGCTTACTATAAATATTCTCTTTACCTCTGGATGCTTTCCTAGTCTTCCTCCTCTGAGAGAACATAAACATACGTGATTTAATTTTCTTCCCTTTCTTAGATAATCTACAATTCTTCGAGCTAACATTGGCCGATACTGCATTCTTAGGTGTGATTCACTTCTGTTTCTTCGTACTTCCTCACAGTGACGATACTCTTTCTCTTTTCATCTATAACTCAGCCTCAGACATCAGGGGTGGACTTACTGTGTAATATTTGTGACAAATTTAATTCAAATTAGTTATCTGAATTATTAATTATATAATTTCAAATATTTTCGCTTATTCGGGGTTTTGGGGTTTTGGGGTTTTGGGGTTTTGGGG